GGGAACCACTGCTTTATACAACACTGAGTAATTTATCAACAGTATTTTATTTTATTTTTATTTGTCTTTTGTGACTAACATTTTTTAGCTGTACCGTGACTGAAATAAAATAACTGATAAGAAAACTGAAAACACGCGTTTCAAACCCATTCATAATAACTGGGTGAGTGTGTTGGGTTAAAAGTGGGAACGTGAGCTCTCTCTCAAACTCCGCCCACCCGCCACGTCAAGGATCGTCCGCGAKCCCATAAACGAGCGCACCCCGTGGGTCCCTCAGACTGGCTGCCGGAGAAAGAGATAAACAAAGAGCCGGCGACTTTTCTGTTCGACAGYCCCCCGCTCCTCAGGCTCCTCGGGAACATGGAAGCTGGTAGGTTGAGTCTCGCTGATTTCCTGTTCGGTTGAGTTGATTCTTTCGACGGTCAGGAAAGCGAAATGTTTTCTTTTTTTCCAAGTAGCTGGAGGTTGACAGCTGACGGAGCTAATCGGCTAAAGCTAGCATTCATTCAGCGCGTTAGCGGAGTCACGCTAATAACTTGACTGTAGTTCTGTCAGGAAGGGTGACAGCTCATTCAAACACACCCTGAGGRTGGCACAGGCGGCCAGGCACTGGAAAGAAACTACAACTTTCCCAGGTAGACGCTGTCCGATTCAAAACCTAGAAGTATTAGCTCCAATTAGCCAGCTAGTTCAAAATGTACCTGTCAAAAAATCTGTAGGTTTTTTTTTTTGAGAGGGCTTTAGCTTGCCTCATCTGTCTTGTAATCATTTTACTATAACGTGTTTCAACTCACCTGAGAACAGCTGTCAACGCCAGGTTTTATGTCTCCCTCTAATTTAGCTTTCAAATGATTTATTTCCATCTTTTTAAACTATCTCAAACGAGACATTCATGCTTTGTGATGGCTCCTGTCATTATAATTAAGCACATTATCAGTTATAACATTTGCATTACCTCTTTTTTCCACATTAAAGTGTAGAGGTCTGTGTAGTTCAGACCTTTGCACGTGCTGGCATGACTGGACCAATAAAAGTGCTTGGCTTGTATAAAAACCAGTTGTATAACCACTGATGTGTAAATTTGCAAGTCACCCTGGCCGTGATCGCTTGGCCCCACTCCATAGAAAACTGTGGCGCTCTTTGCTCTTACAATTCCTGCTTTCATTTGTGGAACAACAGCCCGAACAGCCCACCCAAACCTAAACCTGCCTTTTTGTAGTGTCTGCTACAACCTGCATCCTTCCTGTGTGGAGCCTGAATGAGCTGCTGCCGGTTCAAACGCTTCACAACTTTGGTTTAAAACTAATTCCCCGTCACCACTCTGCTCTGATCATCCATTACACCCTGAAGATGTAGTCCGTTTGACCTATTTGGTCCTGCTTTTGTTAATTTTTTTATTTTAAAAATAAGATGTGACTTAATGAAGTATGACACTTGTCTAATCTGCTGCTCAGTTCGCCTTTCAGCTTTGTGTCGATGGAAAATAACAGAATGCAGCTGAAGGGGAGAGAGAGAAAGGTCGAACTCTTGGCCTCATGCGTGACTAGGCAATGTCTCTCTCCATGTTTAATTGCTCTGCGCTGTTATTTGACAGAATTACACACCGGTGCCCATTTCATCTGGTGAAAATGTGTGCGAGTACCCCTGTRTTAGGGTTKGGCATAATCGTATCGTGTGCGATTAATCGTCAGAAAAACATTAATTGATTATTTTTTGACACTTGACGATTAATACGATTAATGCCACCAGGCAGACTGACTGGAGATGTCTCCAGTCAGTCCGCTTGGTGCTCCTCTCTGCTTCAAATATAATGAAAATTTTTTTAAAAAGTTGCGTCATTTATTTATCTATCAACACTATTTTAAATTTGATGTATAGCCTGAAATCTGTAATTTTGACACTACTTGGAACAGATTTTCACGAAGAGTCTTTCCCACTAAATTGGTCATGTGACCAGGACATAAGGGTGTCCATGGACTCCAGGGGATTAATCGTCAAATTAATCGTTATCGCCTAAAAATCAGTGGTTCCCAAACTTTTTATCTTCTGACCCACAAAATATCCATGGCAAAATCTTGTGACCCCAAATA